TGGCCTGCATGGGCGTTGACTTCGGTCTGGCGCTCTACCAACGCTATGGCCTACAGGCGGAGGTTGCGGTCAGCATTTCGGCGCACGTGGGCGGCTTTCTGGCGGGTCTGTTGGTGGGTATCCCCCTGCTACGCAACCTCCACGAGAAGCCCTGGGAGCGCATTTGCTTTTGGGTCTCACTATCCATTATGACTGCCTGCCTCGTTTTCGCCATTTTTTGGAATATATTTTGGCCGGGTTATCCGGCCCAGTTGGTGTAAATACTGCGTGTTGCTGCCTATTTAAGAAGTTTCATTTGAAGAATTTTTTTCTATCTATAAGGTTGTAACTTGCCTAGGTCTCTTTTTTATTGTTGACATTTGTGTTGCTGATTCGTTTTCGCCTTCTGCAGTTCCTCGCCACACAACCGTCTGGTGGGGAATGATTACGCATGATTTTAAGGTTAAGGTACTGTCTCCGGTGCGTCTACTTCAGTTTATTTGGTGAAGGTTATTGGCAATGTCTTTGGAAAACCGACTCTATGCATTCCGGTGCGTCATATACGTCTGTACACGCACATTATCACAAATTGTAAGTAGTCATGTTTGTTTGCAAATACTTCCTGTCTAAAGTTGACCTGGTACTATGGGGTTCAGGTTACCTAGGGAAAATAAGGGGCCGTAAAGTTATACAAACGTCACTTTGACGACTGATTATGTCTCTAAAGCCCTTCAAGGAACCCTTATATAATTATATTGTGCCAGCTATCTCCTGTGCTCTACGACTGCTCCCGGGTTGCTGTTGAAACATGGCGCAAAGACGACTAGGGATGCGTATGAGTATAGTGATTGGCCTGATAAAATCATATTAAACGGCTACAACCTACTGGGTATCAATATTATACCCAAACAGGTTTGAAAATAAATTTGGCAGGCGTGTTGTTCTGAGCTCACAATTTTTCTAAAAACGCCTAGTCTATCATTTGTGGATGTTATTATCAAAACTATTGTAGCTAGAAGGATAAGTCCCGAGCGAACAGGAAAAAAATTTGCATACCGTACATAATACAATAACTAAGTCCTATTGTATAACTAGCCGCTCACACAGAGAATCATGGTCTATATTGGCAATATTTCAGCATTTCCCTCAGAGTTATCTTTGTTTTGAAAATACGCTCTGAGCAGTGAAATAAAAATGTTATTAGCATTATGATGCAATATGCCCATTTAGTATCACTAAACTTCAAAAATAATTTAGTGCGATGTTTGACACAAAAGGCTCGACTGATAGCATTGAAGAAGCTTTTAAGCTTGTAGAAAAACTGTAGCGGGCCAAGGATGTCGAGGTCGGCGGGAGCTCTGAATTGGATCGATAAGCATCACCCAAACACACAGGTGCTAAGGTCGGAGTAAAAGAGAACGAAGATATATGGGGACTACTCTACTAGTAATTAATGAATACGTACAGAATAAGATAATAATATGGGATATGGAATGGCATTACATAGATACAAGTCCCATCTGGAATGTAGGGTGTTCTTTCATGTCTAATCAGTAACCGGGGAAAATACAGCGCTGTGGGCGACTGCAAGGGCAGGACAGGAGTGCTGACATCGAATGCGGGACTGCGATACGAACGACGACGACGGCGGGAAGAGGTTCAGCGGCTGCGAGGGAAAAGGCCACCGGTTTCTTCACTGACACTCGTTCACATCATCTCCAACCTGAGTCTACGCCAAAACTGACGACCTTGGTGTACGTAAACAATCATTCAGTTTCTTGGGTCTTTACAAAAAGTTTTCGACAAAATGAGTATCCAAATTAAGTGACTGTTAAGAACATGGGTGAAAGACCACTAAAACCTCTGGTACTAACAGTAGAGACTAAATGACCTTTAATTAGGATCCCAATTCAATGGGACGCACCAAATTAACTTCCAAGAAGGTGCCTTAGTCAACCTGTATCAAACATCTCTCCAGCAGACGCCCGTGTACTGTCCTCGACTACTCATATCCTCTACGGAGAGCGCAAGGACCAGCTGCTGGCCCAGGCCAAGTCAATGTGCATCTTTTCATTTATCCGCTGATGTGGGGCAGAATATAACGATCGCACAGGCCGGCGTTTGTCCAAAAGAATATGAGAACACCTTCCAGTATGGTAAAAATGGGGCAAAAGGAAGATTAAAAACATATGAACGTAAATAGTTCCATTCTCTCGCACATGGTAGTCTCAGACTCGTCGCGTATATGCCAGAGAGGCGTTTTTAGTGATCTAAAAGCTCCGCTCGAGCTATTAGAAATTCCTTGGGTAGCGTCTGTTGGCCACGGTAGAAGTGGATGCGATCAGATTACGCAAACCAATCCTGTGTGCCCAAAATAACTTTGAAAAGGCGCCGCAGTTACCGCGGCCGAAAGTTACTAATTCAAACGCCCACAGCCAGAACCCCCTGAACCAGACAACCGCACGGTATTTTCTGTCGACCCTCAAATGCTAAACACGATTTGTCGAAAGTAAATGTTTGCTTACTAATTTACCTTTCGCGTTATTATTCTCCTCGAAATATTTTACAGCATGCCTACAAGCTCCCTGGACAAACAGCGGCTGAAAGGAATGAGCGAACGGGATCATTACATAAGGTGCTCTAGCATGATACGCCACCGATGTAACCAAAAGTTTTCTTAGAGTCGTGAACTGACTTTGAGAACTACGCATGTTAAACGATTGCAGCGTCCAGGTATAAATATGCTCCTGTTGGTCATTCCGTTTGGACTGATTGCAGTTGGCATGATCTTGTTCAATAAGGAAGATTATAAGCCAGCGCTGGTGTTTATGGTGTCTATCTCAGTCCTCTGACGGCCTGCATTTCGGCCCCAGTTTACGAACGGCTCATGCCTATGTCCCTCAATAAGCTGAGTTGAACTGAAGACCCTTAGTTATCCCAACATATTCTCTAGTCATGCTGGATAGAACACAGTGCCCTCTCACCGGGCATTCAACTTCTCTTTCCATTCGGATTCAGACTGGAATGTCTTAATTGCAAGGGTCTTTCTGTAACTTTAGCCGCCGCGGCAAGTTTGCTTTGTCTCTACAGCTCAATTAGCGAAACGCTAACGAAATTATACACATCCAATTGTTGAATACAAATTTGAATTCGAAACTTAGTCTCCACAACTCTAAAAACGCCCGTCATGTCAGCACTATGTCCTAGTCGCACTGCCCTAGGTTCATTCGTTCATGCCATCTGTTTCCTCAGAACGCAAATGAGGTGACTCAACCTAATCTGCTGTGCTGGTCAACGAATAACGTTGATCGTTTACTAAATACATACAACCGGGCTCCATTGTACCTAATCGACACACGCCTAGCTATTTAGTCGAAGCTATTTAGTCAGCCTCATTCACAGCGCATTTCTAGCAGAACAGCACCAAAATGCGTCCCACTCGAGGAGCAAACATATTCGACCTAATTTTTTGTAGGGGATGCGAA